TGGATTCGCTTTGGCCAGGTGAGAAAACGCTTACAGCGTGTGCTGTGTGTGTGTAGCATTCTGCCTCTCTAAACCCTTTTGAGCGTAGCCGGACACTGCACACCTCCCCCCTCCTGCTGGGACCTCGATCTCAGCTACGTTACAATACGAGACTGGCAGGAGCCAGTTGAAACCCCTTATTTCGTCAACCAAGTTGAGGCCGAAAGGGGAGGGAGGCAGTTGGAGCGAAGAAGCAGACGAAGTCGTCATTATAGGCTTATTGAGGCGTACAGACAGTATGTTAGGAGGCGAGAAAACCAAAGCGCACGAGCAGTTCTCAGAGTTGAAGAACATTATCAACAAATTATTAAGAGGGGTTTGGCAGTTAGTTGACTCAAGTGTGAAAAATTCGTGGCCTCGGTGGGATTCGAATCCACGCCAGCAAGGGGAAGGCTTTAGTACAGTCAACGCTCTACCAATTGAGCTACGAAGCCACGCCGAGCACCATAAATATGATCGCACTTGGTTCGATTGACCCGCCAAACCCCTCGTAATGGTTAAATAAGCTTAGTAGTCCTTCTGGTAGATTCTAGATTATTGCTTATGAAATCCTGTTTGGGCAGTCAGCTTGCTCCGGCAGTAATGGTGGATTCCATACGTGCAGTAGAATAGGCTGATAAATTGACCTAAGTGTGATTACATTCACGGTTCTCGGCGCGCTTTCATAGTCTTCCCTGCTGACGTTGGTTCGAATCCCACCGAGGCCACGCATTTTTCAAAATTGGCTCAATTGAATTACCACAAAAGATAACGAGGAATCGTCCGTAAGATCCTGCTCCAGGTCAGCCATTGTGTCCTAGCCTACCCCCATTTGTTTTGCTCGATTGGGACGCGATTGACGGAAAGAGGGAAAATGGGGTTACTGCACTAGACTTCCCCGCTACAAGCCATTTCAGGTCAAAATCACTACTGTTAAGGGCGTAAACTATCGTGATGTGTGTGTGTGCGTGTCGTGGCCTTTGTTGGATCAAAAGCCCCCGCTGGGATCTACATTGGTCAACGAGGGTGAGTTGGCTGCTTGGTCGGGAACTTCAGGCAAAGAGATGCTGACAGTCATGCGGAGAGACGCCGCAATCGAGACAGCTGTCGGACGTGGCCGGGTCGAGCCGGTGTTGGTACTGGCGAAGGAGCATGGAATAGCCACTGCGTAGTTGAGCCAAGGTACAACGAGTGCCCCTCGAGAGTTTTCGTTCCGAGGCCACAATCGGAGGTGGATAGCCGCCTAAAAGGACTGTGGGCTCGTAGCCAAGTTTTGCGTCGACAGTGGTTTTCTGGTGAAGACGCTGGAAGTTCTTCATGATAACAGAGCCATCAACGGGCAGATCTGAGAGACATGAGGCGACAACTTCCACGCGAAGAATTCTAATAGACGAACGAACGCAGCGGAGGGGGGCGTTCAGGAGCGTGGAAACGGTGTATGTCAGTGATGGTGGTGGCGGTAACCAGGTCAATATAAAAATCTGAAGCTAAACTTTGGTAGGAGTACCCCGTGGGGCCGCCTGGGGAGTGCGCGAAGCACGTTCTTCAGTCTCACGGGCACTTGATCTTAGGAGAGAGGAGGGGCGGGGCATGTCAGGGAGTAAATTAGTTCGCAATAATCCTATAAAATAAAAAAAGATAC